TTTTTTTTTTGGTTATTGGGGTATAAAAAAGCTTATCTGCTGTTCTAGGAGAGAAGCAGCCTGTAGGCAGTCCATCAAGTCTCCTTTAGGTTTTTCAAACTACCTAGGACCACGACTGTCACTCAACAACTGAGTTGATTAACAAGGATATTGTAGGATTGTGATTATATTTATCAGATGGGCTGATGTAGAGAGTGGCTGAAAAACATCACCAAACACGCCATAGTTCTTGCTACGGTAATTGTGTGGGAACAACTGGGCGTCAGGTTACTATTTTCAGAGTCCATCATCTCTGTTCAAGACTATCATTCCTTTTAGAAGTTTCCCTAAAACTAAGCTATTCCTCCTTACATAGATATGCGTGCACACCTGCTCGCTCACAAACACACACACACACGCTCTCTATACACATAGTAAAAGTCAGGATTGGAGAAAGCTGCCATCACCACTTGCCGTGTAGAACGTGGCCATCCTGCTCCTGGAAGGGCTGTCCCAGAAGTTGAGGTAGCAGAGGATGTACACGGCCCCCACTAGCAGGTTGAACACCCTCCAGTGGCAGGTGCTTTCCACAATGTCACTCTGCTGGGCCACGAGCCAGAATGTCATCACCAGCCAGTGGGCACCTAGCGAGAGAGGGCAGTCAGAGGCGGGCAGGGGCTCAGGCAGAGAAGTGGATCAGGGCCCCGAAGCCCCCTCTCTGATCTGACCACACCTGACTCAGCCTCTAGGAGAGGTCTGAGGGGCACAGAAAACCAACACATTTTATCTTTGCGCGTATTGTCTCATTTGATCCTCATCAAGGGTACTTGACCTAATTTGGGGGTGAGAAAACAAAGACTAGCCTCAGTAACACTTACCGATGTTCTATACGGGCACCTTTTTAGTTCCAGAAAGCGGCTAGGTCGGCAGTGATGACACTGACGGCCCATGATTTTCAGTCACCACCACAAGGGCTAATCCCCTCCACAGCCGCAGGAAAGGTCTTCCTGCAGTCCAGCTATCCTTTTATTTCTCTATTTTAAGATGAATAATGTCATTCCGGACTTTGAACTCAATTTTAAAAAATGAATAAAAAAGTGAATCTCTCTTTAGTACAATTTCTTTCAAAAATTTCTCCTTTCTGCCCTGAGCATATTAATGTTGGCTCTAGGCTCAAGTCTAAATATTCCTTAGTGCCTCTGTTCTCTTTAAACAAGAGTGCACTGTTCCTTCCTGCAGAGTGCATCTCCCGATGACCAGAGATTCCTCTTCTTGGCACACAGGGGACACACAGGCCCCTGAAGGGACTCTATTTTAAGGCAGAGCTCCTGTCGTTGCCATTCGCACGTCTGTTTGGCTAGACTGAAGGCTGAGCGAAGGCTGGGTTCTGTGGAGTCTTCTTTTGTGAAACAGAGATTTCCAAAATTCAGTGTTCAAATGCAATGGAGGGCTCTTGGAGGCTATGAAAGTATCATAGCATGCATCGTGTATTTTCCTATTGGGTCAGGGCAGGGGAGACCCTCTGCCTCCCTCCTGTTTGAGTGACAGCTTTTCTACAGAATAGAGCTCAGCCCAAGGATAGCGCAAGATGTTCTAAAAGCCTTCCGAGCAAGTCAAGCTGTGCCCCGGAGCCGGCTGGGACTTTGAGGGCTGTGCCATTGGCTGCGGGAGCTCGTCTCCCCGAGAGCACCATCCATCCCTGCCTTTGCCTGTGCCCATGGGGGCTGCAGGCTCTTCCTCCGTCGCCAGCATCTGCGCTGGCTGTGACTGCTTTGAAGGCTGGCTTGCAGCAGGAGCGAGGCTGCCCCAGCGCTGGGCCAGTGTCCACGTCCGTGCTCTCGGAATTCTCAGCTGCCAGGATGAAGCCCAGGCTACTCGGCGAGGAGAAAGGGCACAGGGAGCCTGGGGTGCCCAATGTGAGCGGGAAGGTGCCATCTACACAGCCAGCCTGGTGGGGCCTCCCTGGGAATCCAGACACCCACTATCCTACTATACCCGTGTGAGGCACCCCCAGGCAAGAACCCCCCAGGATCAGTCAGCCCCCAGGACTGACTGGGGTTGAAGATCGTAAACGGCTGTTTTAAGGCATTAAGTTCTGGGGTGGTTCATTATACGGCGACGGGCAGACAGAACACAAGCTCACTTACCTCCAACTACCAAACCCCAGGCGTGGTGAGCTCTGAAGAACAGAGCCAGGCTCAGGACGCGGGCTCCCACCATGCCCATCCTCCACAGCTGCTGGCAGAAGAGGGCAGCCCATGGCGTGGCGAGGTGGCCCGGCTTTATGGAGCCCATGAAACGAGTATAGCACACCAGCGCCCAGGATAGCGCCACCCAGGAGCACAGGGCACTCACCCCTAGAAGAGAAGCGGGCAGCAGTGTTTGGGAAATGTCCGTCCTCTGGTTAAAACCTGGCCTCTCAAGGGCATCCGTAAGCAAGCACCCTGACAGTGGGTGCCAGAACCCTGTGCAAAACACGCACGGCTGTGCACAGGAAGCGCTGAGGCCGTGAGCGGTCCTCGGCATGGCGCTCCCCTAGAAGTGAGCTGGGATCTTCTCCCCCTGTACAGAACAGTGTCTGAGTCCCTGACCCTCTAAGCCCCCCGCTCTGAGCTCTGCTCATAACGAAGCAGACCCTTGGGGCTCCGAACACAGTATTCCATCCCCAATGTACTTTGTTGTCCGATCTACACGGAGAATCAAACAAAACCAGAACAGCAAACTGCGCCAGGCCCTGGGATAAAGCCAGATGGAAGGCCAGTGCAGTCATGACTCAGGCATTTAACTTCTGCACGTGGAAATGTGGACACTCTGCAAAGACAGGGAAGAGGAGGAAGCGGGTGCGGGAAGAGAGTAAGAAGCCACCGAGAGGGAAGGAGAGAAAGCAGGAACGCACCGGCCCCCGGGCGAGTGCTAGCTGGAGGCAGGCATGGCTGGGGCCTCTCGGGGCGTAAGCCTCTGGCTGCGCTGGTGTAACCTAGTGACTGAAGATCTGAGAAAAGACACAGTGATCTTGCCGAGAGGCAGAGAGTGGACCTTCCTCAGGTGTTCTGAGGGTACTCGTCCCACAATTTCTATCTTAGGGATTGACCCCGTGAAGGGAGCCACCCCCCTGTGAACCAATTGCCCCAAATGAAAGCCAGGGTTAGCCATGGCCTTGTGCTAGTGAGCTTGGGCTGCCCTTATCCTCCCAAGCAGGGGAAATCTTCCCTGGTGGACTTCTGCTAAATAAAGTGTTGGTGTCTGTCCTCCTTGACAAGTGGGAGTCTCTGCTTGGTGGATGAAGTCACTCACCTGGCACAACATCTGTGAAGTCCAAGGCAAGGAAAACATAGGTTTGAATCAGCAGGTGGGGCCCGCTCTGGAGCAGGGCTTCCAAGAGGCGGAGGGCTGACAGGTCTGCCTCCTGGAGCAGCAGCTGGCCCTGGTGGGGCGCCACCCTGCCCTTCCACAGAACAGTGGATGTGGCGTCCCAGTGTCTGAGGAAGACCAAGGGCGTGTGGTGCAGTCAGACTTCGCCAGCTTGACTAGGACACCCCCCTCCCCCCTTCCGGCTTGCTGTTGGGACCTACAGCATTCCAGAGAATAAGTTCTCAGATCTGCACACCAGGGTCGCTGAGCTCTGACTCTAGCCTGAAGACGTGAGCTCCACTCCAGACGCTGCTGTAGGTGACCCTGCTCAGCCCGCGCGTGGGAGGGGTGGG